TAGGCGAAGCAGGGCCCAAAGCATGGTCTGTGCAGAGGAGTTCCTTGGCTGAGTCTTCAAACACACGTGGCTCCTGCAGTTCCAAAGCAGTTAGATAGCCAAGCTGAAGGAAGAGTAATCTGATCCCTGCCAAACGAGGTCTTCCGTCTGTGGCATTCTCCCAAGTACTGCCAATACTGACCTGCGACCGAGCCGAGCACAAGATTCTTCTTTGAACCTGCGAGTGAGCCTATCAACCTGCCTTTCTCCACATGCCGAAGCAGGTGACTGTGGTGACCCTTTCTCCGTTTGGTCTTCAAATTACCCTATGCCCTACGCGAAGGTTAAAACAGTTTTAGTCAAAAAGTTAGTCTTTTCCAGCGGTGTAAGTTGAATTCATAAGTGACTGCTGACGGTGAACCAATATAGCCTGGCTTGGCTCTTGTTCAGAGTCGTGACCAACCTCAGGACCATCCTAGAGTGCTACTGTAGCGATCACCATCAGACCGGGACACACGACAGGTCCATCCACACATTCCTCCGAAACAAGGTGCCGTGTTTGGAGAAACTTTCCGACTGCAAGAGTTGCATCTGCCGCGACGTATCTGAGGCGAAACAGGGCATACAGTATGCTCTTTGCAGATCCGATTCTTGGCATGGTGAATTTTTTGTTGAACGAATGACGCGATGTATTCCATCAGTTCAACTGCTCCATATGGAGCTGCTACTCAGTTCCTTCGATGTAGATATATGATAGATAAACTCTATGCCTTCTGAGGAGACCTGAACTGAGGAGACCTGCATTGTACCTCCGAGTTTTTGCGTGTTGATGTGATTTGTACACTGTTTGATGTGGTTGCCACGTGTATTTGACAGCAGACACTGACTGACTCTTGCTATATGCTTGCATTGATGCATTCATGGTTTTAGAGATCCCTTGCTGAGGCGCTCCAGTGCACTCAGCATGGTCACCGAGGGTGAGCTGAGCTCAGTCCCAGAAGATTCGGAGCTCAGGTGGAGCAGGGAGCTGCGTGGGGGCATTGGGTCGGGGATTCAAGCCCAAGCTTTATAGGGTTCTCAACTTCCACGGTCGAGCCAAAGGAGAGGGCCAAATCGAGTCTATTCAATTTCCAAAGGTTTGGAGGAATTTGACGAAGACTCGTGTGAGTTGGTTGGGTCAGGGTCTAATTTTTTTTTTAACGACAACATGATCATAATGCAAGATTTTGCAGGACATCTCCCCTGTTGCTGCAGGTACAAAAGAGCCGTGAGCATGATCTTCAGCGATGGTTCGGGTGAGAGGCCAGGTGCAGTGGCAAGCAACGCACTATCTTGCCCTCCCTTCGAAGGCTAGGACATGCTAGAACAAAGACCTAGTAACCATGAACTAAGCACTGTATATACTTTGCTTTGTTTCTGAGTCAATGCATTTTCCTGCAACTACCCACAACAAACATTGAATACCCGGATTACACAGATCCTATAGATCTCTGTATATAAGTGTGCGGTGCTCTGAGGCAAGTCAGCGAAGCTTCCCTGCCATCGATCATCGAGCTGCTGGGCTGTATAGCATGAGCCAGTCCTTCACATTGGCATGTCACCAGCGGGTCATTGGTAGGTGAAGGTTTGAGGGAGGTAAGGTGCAGTTTGCAGGTCTTAGTCTTAGTTGATGAAAGGAACAGGTGCAGGAGTGGTGGGCGGTGGGCTTCCCCGTAATTTCATTGGGCAGGACACGTATCAAAGCGGTTATAGCGGTGAAGCGAAATAGCTTCGAGGTGTGATGTGAAAGACTCGAGTGATGACTCAGAGGAGGGATTGCATCACGGCTGCACTTGGTGTATCCCCTAGTAGCGTCCTTGCTCCTAGTAGCGAGGCCAGGAGCCCCTAGTAGCTTCTTGTTGCTAGTAGTAAGGCCAGGAGCCCCTACTAGCGTCCTTTGCTCCTGGGGTCTCGGAAGTGACATGGAAAAATTATCAACATCAAAGGAATCCCTTTATGTGTAGAGGATCGAGGCTGGAAGATGAATCAGATGAATCTCATTGGTCATTTGCTACGTACAAGACAAAGCAGCAACGCGGCAAGTGCTCAACAACTCACTGTAGTCTTTTCCTTCTTTGCTTTTGACATGGCAAGAGACAGAACTCCTGTGAGAATCAAAACTGCGCCTCACGGCGACTCCATAGGGTGCGCAGTTTTGCTCAGGAAGCGCATCACGGAGGGCAGCGAAGACTTTCGAGATGAGCCGCTGAGACGCGCGAAGACCCTCGATGAGGGGGTGGGCGGTCGAGCGGTGGAGCGGAGCGGTTCGGAGACTAAGAGCCTCAGTGAGGTTTGGTGTTAGGAATGTGGAAGGTGACCGAAGGTATGGAAGAGAATGCATGAATCAACATGAATCATGCTTTTTTCAAAGACCGGTAGAAGATTTTGTCTTGGACAATGTAGCAAGATAATCAATGCTCAAGGCGTGAGGTCCAGTACCTGAACATAGAGAGGTTGACAGCATTCAGGTCTTAAGCACGTTCACTTCCATGGACCCGCTTTTTGCCATGTGGATGCATGCATTCAATGCATTCAATAGAGCCTTACACCCCCCCTTCATCCTTTATCTATTGTAGTAAAGGATTTTGATGTGGGCCTTTTCCTGGTGGAAATACACAGTTTGGAGATGTTTGGAGGTGGCGACCTTGGCACCCTTAGAGAAGCACACTCATTTGATGCTGGTTAAGCTCTGATTTATGAACGGTTGATCGGCAAGTATCTTCTGTGGTTTGACGCCGGATAGCCACAGAAGCGAAGCACATTGCAGTAGCTTCCAACTCCATATAGATTCTTCCAAAGCTTTTTTTTCTTTGTATTTTGATTTGGTTCATATACTAACCTGGAACAATCAGGGGTTTTTTGCCGTCGGTGGAAGGATTGGAAGGTCCGAGGAGGACGTCCTCGATGTTTCATCTCAGGTCCAGTAGCGATGCACGCAGCACCGCACCCGATTCAGAGGGTGCTCAAGGTGCTTTCCAGCCCACGTCGCCTGACGATCAAGCTGGGGACGTTGGACTTAGCTGGTGAGGACTGATAGGAATCGGGTGAGAATATGTTTTGGTAGCCATGGAGTTTCAATGCATGTCCAAGGGGTCCAGCATGTTTCAAGCTGTTTTGGGGCACCCAGAGCCACCACCTTACACTGGTTGCTTTGCGTTGCCTTTGGAGCAGGATTATAGCTGTTCTTTTGTTTGGCCAGAGGGTGTAGGTCCATATGGGGCTCACCTGAGTTTGCTGTTTATGCAAGGTACGGAGAAGAGATCTCGTGGCCATCAGCGCTGTGGACTATGCCCCAACTAGTGTCCTGGTATAGACCGGAGTGTCTTGCTCAGTCGCAAACACAGGTGTATTGAGGGGTAGTGGCACGGCTGCATCAGCCAGATTCAGGTCCAGATACACAACATGCAGATGGAAGTCAAGGTTCAAAGAAACCTTCGAATGACTAGAGAGGATGATCAAGGATCAAAGTTTGGATATGTTAAATGACGAGCTCAGCTATGCTAACTTTTGTTGATTCAAGCAAGCAAGGCATTTCCTGGAGGGCTTCGTTTGATTCCCCATACCAAAGAAATCCAAAGAGCACCTCACCAACTTGTGTGGAAAACAGACACTTTCTCTACCTGGCTGCCAACCCCCCGCCTCCGACAAGATGATCTCCAAACCACATTTTTCGGTGTTTCAGCCGGTGCAGGGGACACCTCAGGACCTTCTCTATGAATAGACATGAATAGACCCTTGACAGTTGCAAAGCGAGATTCACCTCGGGTCCTTCAATCTGAGGATCTAGGATTCCAACGGATTCCGCATCTTTCTTCGTAAACAACATCCCTTTGTGGTAGAATCTTCCAAAGCACCTTTCTGGAAGACTTGTCATGTAGTTTGCACAAAGGTTCTAATATCGTTCTTCACTCCGCCATGGAATGCAACGCCCGCCATGCGCCACACGTCGCCGCACATGATCGGCTGGCTTGACGAGCGGTGCCTGGAGGCGACCGGCGCGCCATGCGAGGAATGCGTTGGCACGTTGGGTCAAGGGGACTGCGCCTCTTTTTGTTCCTTGGTCTCCTTCGACATCTTTTGACCACAGATGGATGGTCCATTTTGTCACAGCCTCAACAGATGGATGTGCAGCTATTTGAACTGCTAAGGGGGAACACAGATGAACTGACAACAGATTTCCAGGCGGCAGATCATCTAAGCTGACGAGGGTTTGACAGGATTGCCTGCGTAACGCTCTCCAGTCACGCATTTGCTTGACGACACATCAAGCCCTCTGCTTGCCTTTGTTTCTGCAAACAACTCAGACGAGCGGGAAGTGAGTTTGAGCATGTTAGAGCTCATCTAGAACGACATTGACCCTGTGCCTTCACACTTTGCCTGCAGGATGGAGCGCCAGACAAAGAGATTCACCCCTGTGCATAGTAAGCTGAGATGGCAGACCTTGTGACTTGGTTGGGATGAAACAAGCATCACTCCAGCAACAAACATCATCGAACTGTGGCATTTCATGACCAGCTCCCTCGGCTTCCCAACCCGGGAGTGCTTGTTGAAGTTTCCCTATTTGCGCTGCATGCAATCGCCCCTGAACTCCCATCTTGGGAGGATTCTATGTCGATTTCCTTTAGAGCTTGGATGTCATGCTTTGTGCATTACCGCACTTGCACCTGTTCACTGTGGACCCGCTGGCCGCCGCCCAGGCGACGCTTGACCTCCGGCTGCCAAGGCGACTACATTGCCACCACGGCCGAGTCCTCGTCTTTGCGGATCCCCCAGGCGCACGACACACGTGACCGTAACTCGCAGGACAGTTTTTTTTCCCTTTTGACGTCGTCCAAACTGGAATATATAATTTATGAAAGACATATTGCATATTATGTTTATGATATAGTATATATAGTATATATATATATACAGTATATGTATTTATTGCAATGAAGCACCAAGCTCAATGGTGCTTTGAACCATTCTTGCCAACTGAGTTCTACTCTTCCGTTGCATAGATATGATTATATATAGATCTCAACCGGAGGACTGCTTGTGGTGACTGTTTGCCCGCCTTGATCAGCCTGTGCCATGTCACACGCCCAGGTTTTGGTGAACGAGACGGATCCCGTGGAAGTCTTGGAGACAGGTCTACCTGTTTAGACCTTAGCTTCACCAGGGACATTTTTGAGAAAGGTTGACCATGGAAAAAAGACCGGTTTTGAAATCATTTGCATCCCTTGGGTGAGATTATGTTGCAACAGGATGAATGTCCAACAGTGTATTCCAGAACTGGTCAGACTCTTTGCGAGGTGATGTACTACAACCCGATGTCCAAGACATTTGAAAATCGTGTGGTTAAGATTGACAACCAGCTGAGCTTCTTTTTCGTCCTGGAAGAGAGGGCATTGAAGGAACCATGTGCTGTCCGGCTCTATGGGATTGAAGAGGCGGGGAACCGAATGTGCTTTTCAAGGAGCGGATCCAAAGTGGATGGCGTGGAGTTGCAATCCTAGCGTCCTTGCTCCTAGTAGTATGGCCAGGAGCCCCTAGTAGCATTCTTGCTCCTAGTAGTCATCCTCTAGCAGGTTTCAAAAGGAAGGGAGACATGAACAATTCCATGTTGGTGTCAGCTTTCTCATCAAGACAGACACATGCACTCGCACAAAAGCTGTGACACGGCCAAACATACAATCAGTTCCAGTTCGGTCAAGACTCTTATGATCAATTTGAGGCACTTGGTGTGGACAGGCAGTAACAAGAAGCTACTAGGAACAAGTGCCACGCTAGTAGTAACAGG